AACCTATAAAGTCTAAGATAACGAAAGCCAGGGCACATTGTTTGCGTTGAGAAGAAAATTAAAATTTGCGGATTCGGACACTAAACTTATCTGATACAAGTGTTTTGTGAGAGCTATACGTATGCACACACGGTGTAATGCCCTTTCACGAAAGATTGTGTTAATGAACTAGAAAGTCTCCAAAAGCTTGCTGCTCGGTTTATCTTTCATAACTACAGCACTGAATCAACAGGCACCGGGTTAGTGGAAAGAGCTGGGCTACAGACCTTAGAAATGAGAGCAGAAATTAATAGATTAAAAATTCCTTACAATATTCTAATATACTTCCTCCGAATAGAAAGTTCCAACGATTTAAAATTGTAATTAGCGGGATCTTTTCCACTTAACCATTCCAGTGACACAGTACTGGTTCCAGAAATAACTGGTTTAAATATTCTATATTTCCCCGGGCAATTCACGATTGAAATAAGCCCACAAACAATATTGTGATTTTACCATCTTTTGATATATTTTTTTACGGCAGTTGGCTTGCATTTTTTATATATCGCTGTTGTTTTCACTAGAGTTTTGTGAAATTTATGTTGCCACCACTAATGTATCATGGCTCATTGAGTGGAGCCTATAGTAGTTTAAATAAAATAATTAGTAAATAAAAAAATAAACATACGTTTCCAAACACCGGCACAGTACCCTTTTCCAGTAAATACGACAGTGTGTGCCGTAATCGCCGCGATTGCCCTCAACAGCGACTCGCTAGATTGGCTGTATTTTTACCGCGGCCGGAGAACGCTACACGAAATTCCGAGGACACCTAAGTACTTCTTATGAGTTGTGAATGCCAAAGCATGAATGTCGTTCTTCCGCTCCCTTAGTTCGTCTGCGATGTATACTGGCGTGGACGTCCACGTTTCGCCACTGCCGAGGTTGCGGCCACCGACGATATGGATGCCTCAGGCGCCGCCACGTTCCTCGGCGCAGAGAGGAGCAAAAGCGGCCGCAGGCCCCCCCCCCCTCCCCCCCCCCCCCCTTTCCGGCAACGCCAGCTTTCCGGCAACGGCAGCGCGCGCTCTCGTGAAGCGGCCGCGTCCCCCCCCCCCCCCTCCTGCAACGCCTGACACGAGAGCGGCGGCCGAGCACGCGCCCTCGTGAAGCGGCCGCGTCCCCCCCCTCCTGCAACGCCTGACACGAGAGCGGCGGCCGAGCACGCGCTCTCGTGAAGCGGCCGCGTCCCCCCCCCTCCTGCAACGCCTGACACGAGAGCGGCGGCCGAGCACGCGCCCTCGTGAAGCGGCCGCGTCCCCCCCCTCCTGCAACGCCTGACACGAGAGCGGCGGCCGAGCACGCGCTCTCGTGAAGCGGCCGCCAATGGCCATTTAGGAGCCGTTTCGCTTAGCCAATGGGAGGATGGACATTTCTTTCGTGTTCTTTCGCGGTTACAGACACCACCGGCTCCGATCCATGGGACAGTTAATGCTTTCGCATTAAAAATTAATCGTTACGCGAGGAATGGAAATGCTGCAGTATTTAATGAAAACAACTTATGCCGACGACGAATTGCTGAGCATCTTCCGTCAACATTGGCCAAAGGCGTTAAACTTGCACCAACGCTACCGCTATTTTTTTATCGTTTTTTGTTTGCGCTTGATGGGGAATCGGTGGCCGAGTGGGCTAGCGCACACCAGCTCGGAGCACGTGGAGCGTAAGCTCGCGCTGCAGAACCCAGGCATCCTAAGCTCAATCCCCACGCCGGCCCATTTCGATCTGGGTAAGCATCGTATGGGCGTGCGGTCGTGTATCGCTACTGCGTGGTGCACGCTAGCGAGCCCAGTTATTTAGGTAGCTTAGCACGATTATCACGGTTATTATCGAACTCAAAAGGTAGAGAGGCCAGCTGCCTGTTGTTTTTGTAAATCGATAGATACATCACAGCTCGACGCTCAGCTTTTTAAGTCAAGTGGCAGCTTGAACCACCCACAAATTGTAACAGTAACCGCTAGATGGCGCTAACTTGTTTTTTATTGGGCTTTTCAAAGTTGCATATTTCTAACCAGTACTCATAGCTTAAGCATGCATACACAGCACGAATACCAACCAACATACATGTCAGCTGTACAACAACGTACAAACAGCTCTGACATCACACCTCCGCGACTTTCAATTCTAACCACCTACCCACCCGATTCATATATATACCCACCATCTTCAGCCAATGTTTAGGCTAGTAAGGGTCATTATATACTAGATAAATACCAGGGGCCGGTTGCACCAACGCCGCTTACCTTAACCCAAAGCGACACTTTCCTAAGCCGGCTTAGCGCCCTAAACCGAGCTCAGGTAAGCACGGGCATAGCCTCCTCTATACGGAGAAAGCCTGGCGCGTCGCGTGAAAAGACGGCCGCCGTAAATGGGAAAGGAGGGGCGGAGAAACGGGAGCGGAGAGAACCTTGCCTGCTAGCGCCACAAAGGAGCGAACGGCCAAACGCAGAAACAATCTTTTTTTTCTCTCTCTCTCTTTTCTTGTCGCTATCGTGGAGAGGAGAAACTCAACGTCCACCCTTTCCCGTTTCTCCCTGCGCCCTCTCGAATCGCCGCGCCCGTTTCTCCCGGAGTACGAAAACGACGGTGACGAAAACACAAAAACAAGCGTGGTTCGGGGAGAGGCCGCTCATGACCCAAGCGCTCGCTGTCTAGGTCTGCCCTTTCTGCTCTGCGCTACCATATTGGTCACCGTTCGGCGCGCTCCTCCTCTCCTTTTTCCTGCGGCCGCGCGCCCTATGGAGCCGTCGTCGATGTGTCAGGCTTTCTCCGTATAGAGGAGGCTATGGCACGGGTTTAAATTCCGGTTGCACCAACGTTAAGCCGGCTTTACAGACGCGCCCCTAGCTAAACACTGGATTTGCCTAGGGAATCTAGGGACAAACAGAGCGAACCAGGGAACGCTCAGAGGGACGAATACGATTGGCGGAGAGGAATCACGTGATGTAAAAAAAAAAAGTGCCGTAGTAGTTGTCGTTGGCGTCTGCTTTTCGCTGTATTTCTTCGGTGAATAACAAATTAAAGGTCTCCAAATTCAATAATTTTTTCGTTTAACTTTCAATAAAAGAAGTCAAAGCTTCAAATAAACACGAATGCTTTTACATCTGTGATTGTGTGTTTAATATCGGTTGATAATAGGATATTTTGACAGTGGTAATAGTTTTCGTGCTCACAATGGACCTTTTCCACATACCGACGGCACCCAGCGGTGGCTGCATGAACTAAAAATCGAGGAAGTGACCTACCTGCGCTACCAATTGATACCGGGAGCTACGCTACCAGTTTCTTCGCTCTCCGAGCTGCGTCGCGTGCCCAACGCAAGCTTAAAGATGGGCATCCGTGGCGTCCACCCAATCGTTGTGTTTTTCCTTCTATCCACTTTCTTTTTGTGTGTAACCCAATTATATATATGCTGCAATTACCTGTTCTGCTCACTTATCCACAGGCTCATTCAGAATTTCCTCGATTTTTCGTTCCGACTTCCGCCGCTTGGCATCGGGCGCTCGCGCGTGCGCAGAACACTTCTCGGAAAAGGTCCATTTGAGGCGAAGGAGCCATCGGGGACCCCAAATCTCACCGAACGCGAGGACACTACTCGCTACATCGCTGAAGACAAAACATCATGGATATAAGTAGGAGGTATAATATGACTACTAAAATCAAGTCAAGCCTGAGACCGATGAAGTTCAAAACAGTGACGAACTCGCCACGGCAGCTGCGAAAATGCCCGGAAATCGTCGAATAGAAGTCGTCGAGAGGTCAGGTCACGAGACCTTGCATCGGCGGTACTCGTTGCTATCAGCAAGGTGACAGAACTGCACTGTACCGTCGTTGAACATCCGCTGCAGCCTCAAACGGACTTCAGTTTCACACTGTCGAGTTCAGAACAAAAAAAAACAAAAAAAAAAAACTCCCACTAGTACATCACATCGTGCCGATAAGAACGGCCGTCTCTTCGCATCGCCTGCCCCAGCCTGCCCCGATACAGCAATGAACGAATCTAGCATAGTAGTCGTTACGATTTGTCGTCGCCACGAATGAAAGATATAAAGCAAAATATTCCTAAAAATCACGATCACCAAAAAAGTTACGGTTATGGAACGATACAGTTTTCTGAAGCCAAGATCCTACTCGCGAGATTAGGAAAATTCACTGAAGATTGTCTCAAAACTCAGAAAACGAAAGAAATTGAATTTTTGTTGTTTTTATTACTTAAAAGCGCCGCAATCTAATGCGAACGGCAGAGGTGTCGACAATCAGCTGACCGCCGAGATCATGTACTGCCACTATTCAACGCGCTGATCGAATTGAAGGATACGCGCTGCAAGTGTAAATAAACAAGGTGGTAAATAACAATACGTTACGGTTATGCGAAAATTAGTAAGTACATACGAATAAGCTCGTTGACAGAAGAACCAACGGGGAGACAGACGTGAGCCCCGTGAGCCCTAAAGTCGCTCTAAAGATCCTGGGAAAGTAACGCCATGCTCCCCGTGTGGTCGCCATCTTGGTCCGTGAAATGAGCAATTTCTCCTTGACCCCTCCGTTCTTGGTGAGCCGATCTAGATGCGCTGGTGACGGGTAGCTTTATGGAGTGGTTTTTTGTATACCGAGATATTGCTAACCACACACCGGCGAAACAAGCGTACACCTTCGTACCACCACCAGATGCTGTGTCTGTGCTTGGAGGCACTGAAAACTAAGTTTACTGTTTTGAAATACGCAAGAAGAACAATACAATTGTAAGAGATCCATGGAGATGGGCATTAATAATAAGTTGATTGCATACAGAGTGCCAAAGACCCTTATATTGGCGGGGAACGCCTCCAGTACGATGATGCTCCATGGTAATCTTGGCGCGACTGGTTTAGAACGACCCCCTGGAAGCTTCGAAGATTTAAATGGAACAAGATGGCGATTTGCATGGCAACGTAGACCGTTTCGTCTACGTTGTCAGCGGCGCCATGACACCCGCATCGCCGGCCCAGCCTACGAAGGCATGTACCTTCGATGTTTCCTGCCCGCCCGGCGCGTCGGTGGATTCTATCTTCGACGCGGCGGTGGCCATTGTCGGCACTGCCGAATTGTTCTCTGTGCAGCATCTGGGAGGCAGCAACTTTCAGATGTCTGTTACATCGTCATCGGCCATGAGCCGAATCGTCAACGCCGGGGCTCTGACCATCGGCGGAAGAAGCGTCCCCATCGTCCCGGTAGGCCCGCAAGTAACGTCCATTACGTGCCTCTACCTACCGATTTATGTGAGAAACGAAGCCCTCGCCGCCGCCCTGTCGCTTTACGGGAAGGTTCTGGATATTCGCTTCGGCGTCTACCAGGACCACCCCAACCTCCGGACGGGTACCCGCTACATCCGAATGGAGATGAAGGAGTCTACCCCGGTGCCGAACTTCCTCCGCGTCTCCGGTCATCGGGCCACCTTCGACTACCGCGGTCTCAAGAGAGTCTGCCGACGCTGCCAGCAGGAGGGCCACCTCAAGGCGGCCTGTAACGTGCCCTATTGTGCCCGCTGCGCCGCCTTCGGCCACGACACCGTCGGCTGCGCGGCCGGCTGCGGACGCTGCGGAGCGGCCCACGCCACGGTGGACTGCACCCAGCGTCGCAGCTACTCAGCCGTGGCCGGCTGCGGCCAGGACGACTTCCCGGCCTTGACTCCGGCGTCCCAGACTCCGAAGTCCCAGGGCAGGCCTCCTACCACCCCTACTCCCCCTCCTGCGGCGACGGCCGCCACCCAAGGGTCCGGTGACACGCCTGCCCCCGCCGAGCCCCCAGTGACGACCCCGTCCGAGCTCGCCCCGACATCGCAACAGTCGAAGCCGGCAAGCGCCACCGACGCGAATTCGAACGCGTCACAGGACGCCGCCGAGGCCGCGCTTTCGAATGCGGTCCACACCGCATCTGTGCACGCGCCCACTCCTACCAGTCCCGGCTCAGAGGAAGTACTGGTGAAGGAGGAACGCCCGCGAACGCCGGAACTCTGCCCCAGCCCGCTTCCCAGCTGGAGCGACATTACGGAGGACTCTGCCTCATCGACGGACGACCGCCTCGTCATCGACGAGGTTGCCCACGACAAAGACAGCGCTCTGCCGCGCGGCCGAGATCGTCGCCGCGGCACCTCCGAGGAACTCCGAAAAACCTGCAGCCGCAGTCGCAGCCCGCATGGCGGTGCCGAAGACGGGAAGCGAGATCTTTCCAGCAGCGGCGAATCAGGGTCCCCAGGATCCACTCCAGCATCGGCAGCGGCTCCCAAGCGGTTGCGGAAGGACCTCGTCGCGCTGTCTGACAGCTCGTGCATCACATCCGATACATCCACGGACTAGCAGTGAACACAACGACACCCCCCCCCCCCCCCCCCTCCATCCCCTTTTCGCGCACCTGCGAGTCATCACCCTGAACGTTCAGGGCTTCCGCAGCGTGACAAAACAGATCGAGGTCATCCAGTTCGCCCGAACCGCCCGTTGCGACCTCCTGTTCCTGCAAGAAACGAACTTCCACAGGCAGCGCGACGTGAACCTCTTCAAGCAGCGGTATGGGGTGGATTGTTTCTTTTCATACGCCACTACACGGAGCTCGGGGGTGGGGGTCATTATCTTTAACCGCTCGCTCCTCCGTCTCAGCGCGTGCTGCTTTGACCCCGACGGGCGGTACATCGCTTTTGATTTCTTCGTGGACGGCACGCGCTTTCGTGCTGTGGGCGTGTACGCTCCAGCCCAGCGTTCGCAATCCCCGGCCTTTTTCAAGAGCCTGGACGTCCATCTGCTCGACGCTCACCACTGCCTGCTCCTCGGCGACTTCAACTGCGTCGTCGATTCCCGGCGCGATGTCAGGGGCCCAGGCTACGGACGCACCACGTGGAACGCCGGCGAGCTGATACGCCTGATGCGACACTTCGACCTAGTGGACTGCTGGACTCTGCTCCATGGCACCGCTTTCGAGCATACCTGGCAACGAGGAAACTCGAGCAGTCGCCTGGACAGGTGTTACATCTCCGAGTTTCTGAGCCCCTCTGTCACCGCCTGCTGCGCAATGAACTTCCCTCCCTCCACTACGTACATTTCCGACCACCGTCCGGTACTCGTAGAGCTCCGCTTCAGCAGCAAAGCCAGTACTCAACGCACCTGGCGTCTCGACACCCGACTGCTGCGAGACAAAACAAGCCGCGACTGCCTGAGAGAAGCCTTGCGCCGGTCCCTCCATGGAGTGGCACCAGACCCCTTGACCTTTGACCGGCTTCAAGACAGCTGGCGGGTGGCGTGCGTGGCGGAGGGTCGTGCACTGCGTCGGCGGCACGCCGAGCAGCTCCGAGACACCTCTCTGCGAATTCGGATCGTGCGACGGGGCGGCGCGGGGACTCCGCTAATGCGGGGCTACCTGCAGCAGCTCCTCGACCGTTACCAGCGACAGCTACGACTTTGTACCAACGCAGCCACAGCCTACCACGGACGGGTCGGGCCCTCGGCTCACCCCGAGGTGCTGCGCTACGCCCACCGCACCGAAGTGCGGGAGCGACGCGTCCCTTCAGTGCCGACAACCCCAGGCGCGCCAGCAACACCAGGTCAACCGTCGGTCTCCGGTTTCAGCGCCCACTTCCGGGCCCTGGCAACCACCGAATCGGCGGTGGACCGTGCGACCCTCGTGGCGCACCCCTTCCTACGCGATCTCCCGCAAGTTCCCGAAGACCTAGCCGCACACTTGCACGAGCCCCCCAACCCCGAAGAGGTGCTCCTTGCCCTGTCAAGAATGAAAACTGGGTCCGCGCCGGGCCCAGATGGGTTTCCCACCGAATTCTACCGTACCTTCTGGGACGTGCTGGGCAACTATATCTGTGCCGTGCTCCGGGAATTTTTCACGGAGCACCGCCTTCCAGAGTCGTTCCGCCGAGGCAGAATCATTCTTCTGCCTAAGGAGGGAGGAGACCCCAACGACCCGGGCGCGTGGCGTCCCATCACGCTACTCAACGCAAGCTACAAGCTGCTAGCGTCGATCATCACGCAGCGCCTCCACGGCATGCTCCCGGACGTGGTGACACCCCACCAGACGTGCTCGATCGTCGGCCGCAGCATTCAGACCCTGACATCCCTGACGAGGGACGTGGTGCAGTACACGAACGCTCGCCAAGCCAGAGGCCTGATCGCCTCCCTCGACCAAGCGAAGGCTTTCGACCGGGTGGAGCACCCGTTCCTCCTGGCCGTGCTCACCGCTTTCGGTATTCCCCCTGAAGGGGTTCGACTCTTCGAGACGCTCTACAGTGACATGAAAAGCGACCTCTATCTAAACGGCGGTGTGACGGCCAGCTTCCCCGTCACCCGGGGGGTCCGCCAGGGTTGCCCGCTCTCGCCGCTGCTCTTCGTCCTTACCCTGGAGTCCTTCCTAGCCAACGTCGAAAGGACCCCCCAGGTCCGCGGACTCTCCCTGCCCGGAAACGGCGAGGTGAAGGTGTCGGCATACGCCGACGACATTACACTGTACCTGCGGGACACCGACGACCTCGGAGCGGCTCTCCGGATCTTCGAGACCTACGGGTCTCTCTCCGGAGCGAAGTTGAATGAGCAGAAGAGCGCGGTGCTGTGGGTTAACCGACCGCCTGACCCCTCTTCACCGATCCCGGCAAAAACTTCGGTCACGATCCTTGGTGTCACCTACCGCTCGTCAGGAGTCTCGGCGGACATGTGGACGCGCCTGGCGCGCGACATCGGGGAGAAAGTGGACTCTGCTCGCTCCTACGCCCTTCCCCTGGCCGAGCGCAGGTACCTAGCCTACTCTGTCTTCTGTGGACGCCTCTGGTATCTGGCGCAAACGGCGCTCCCGACCTCACGTTTCATCCGACCGGTGAAAAGCGCGCTCTACAGCTTCTTCTGGTCAGAGAAGACGGAGCTGGTCACTCGGCCGGTTGTCTGCCTCCCGCGCGAGCGTGGAGGGTGGGGCTTTCCCTGTATCGACATCGCACCCGCACTACTCCAACTCAAGACCATGCTGAAGATATTGCGCGATGAGCACGGCCCAGCCCGATCCCTCGCGCTCTACTTCGTGGGGCACTCCCGCCGAGAACTGGGAGTCGAGTCGCCGAGCTCACCCGGCCCCTGTGCCGAAACCCCGCCGTCTGACTACCGAAGGGCAATACAGCTCTTCAAACGACTCAAAGAGCGGGCGCCCCAGCTGGACGTAGTGGAGACACCGACGGCTCGTCTCACAGAGGTCCTCCTGGAGCCGCAGATTTCGGCAACGCAGGTGGAGCTCGGAGACTCTTTCTCCTGGTCCCGCCTCACTTCTTCGTATCTCCCGGGGCACCTATACGGGACTTCGAATGGCAGCACGGTTGGGGCGTCCTCCCCAGCGGAGACCGCTTGCTCCGCTGGGGCGTGTCGCGCACGGACGAGTGCCCTAACTGTGGGAATCGCGAAACGAATGTGCACGCGGTGAAGGAGTGCGTTGTGGCGCGGACGTTCTGGCGCGTCATCCGCACCAGCTTCCGCGGTTTGGGCGTAGGACTTTACCTGCTGCGCGGGAGATGCCCTCCGGGCGTCTTCGTCCGTCTCCTCCTCGCCGCGGCCGAGTACGTGCTGTGGAGGAACCGGTGCTGCGCGGTGAGACAGGCGCGTCGATGGCGTGCTCTTTGGCCCCTCCTGTGGCGGCTCCGGCGGGAGCTCGTGGGACACCTCGAGGAGCAACTGTTTTTCCTCGGAGAACAAGAGTTCCTCAGGCGCTGGTCCTGCCGGTACCTGAGCGTTCGCGACTCGCGGATTGAACTCCGCTTCAGGTACCTGGACAACCTCTAGGTCCCTGAGTTCAGAGCGGTGCCCTTGGGGGCACGAGCGCGGGTGTGCGGCTCTGGGATGACGCTTCGGCCGCGTGAGTGATCGCGCGGACGGGGACACCTCGGGGTGTGCGCCTTCGAACTTGTGCGTGTGGCTCCGCGGCAAAGACCCGCCCACTGTACAGACACTGATTCGCGCATATATGTGTACACAGTGTTCTTAACCTCTGCGCGTCTCTTACAAAATCATGTCCACAGTGTTGCAAATAAATTTTCTAATTAAACCTATTAGCCAATCGCCTTGCTAGGTTTGGGTCGTCTGTAGGTTAGTATCCGTTTGTGTCCGGCTAGCAAGTAGGGAAGGCAATGGCGCTACTTTCCCAGGATCCAGTGATTTTAGTGAGCCCCACAGACCCACAGCTCCGTACGTATCTCGGTTAGGGCTAACACGCCCTGAGAGTGGAGAGCCGACTTAAAAAAAGGAGTCGATAAACACTTCACGCGACAATATTTTGCATCCTCGTCACAATCGAAGGTCATTCTGTCGAAACTTTCACGCTGATGTAGCCTAAAATACTTTGCACAATCAATTTCGTCCACCGCATCGACCGCGACAAGCCAGCCGCCATGTTTTTAATCCAGGATTAAGAAACAACCAGAAGCAAAGCGCCCAATGTTGAGCGCTCAAGTTAAGCGTAGTTTAGTGCTAGGTTTAGCGACAAGCGATTTTGGTGCAACCGAACGAAACCGAAACTTAGCTTAGGTTCCCCGCTAAGCTCCGCTTTGCGCTAAGCGGCGTTGGTGCAACCGGCCCTAAGAGCATTTGCAAAAGTTATTGGTATACAAGTGCTCTCTGGATTTAAATTAGCAGGCTAGACACTTTTCTCAGTCTAGTGCTTCAAACGACTATAGGATATGAAAATAATCTGCTAAAGTAACACCACACGATATGCTCCTGATCAGTTTCGGATTGAGATTCATGCAGTCAGAGTGATAAGCTTATCAAATCGCGTTGCCCCATACTCGTTCCACGCGTGTAATAGCACCCCAAGTTACAAAAATCTTTATATTGTCAGTCTGATAACTGACGTCACGTGACATCAAACACCACTTCAGCTTTCCCGCTAAATTTAGCGGGGAAATTTTCGCTTAAATTAGTGGAAAATTTAACTAAAATTTTCCGCTAAATGGGGGGGGGGGGGGGGGAGCAAGAGAGGAATAGGGGAGGGTACGGAGGGGGATCAAGGACATACCCTCCCCTCAGTACCCTTCCCTCCTCCTCCTCAAGAGCTGCGCTCTAATTCGGCGTTACAGAGAATTGTAAACATCTTTCTTTTTTTTCTTTTTTTTCTCACTAGACTTTCTGTAAGCCTCAGCAGGCACCGGGAGTCAGGGCTGGGCAGTATCGCGATACATCACGATAGCAACCCCCGGTCACAGTCATAGTTTCGCGGCGCTGACATTAGCGTTGCCAGCATCAGCGGCGCTGTGTATAGCGTCGCCACCGGCAGCAGCGCTTGGGTGGTGGGGGGCTCTCATTAATACAAAAATACAAATATGGAACTTTGTTCGC